TAAGTATAAACTCTTGGTCAAAATAAATAAAAATTCACAGATTATGATATCACATTAATTTTCTATTTATTTGCCATTAGGAAAAGAATTTCAATGGCAATTCCTAATGTAAATAAAATCACTCCTCATTTTGAAGGCATACCAAATGAGATCATGCTGTTCGCCTTGCATTAGAAGCGAAGAATTTTGCCTTGTAATGAAAAATGAATCTTTACGAGTTTGTCATAAGGCAAAAGGAACTCAGGTAGTGAAATGGTTAAGAAGTAAGCAGTTGAAACAGTGGGAGGAAGATGAGACAGTCTGCCTAGGAAGAGAACAGTATTGAAGTTCTGCTGGGCAGCTCTGCTTTGTCCTATAGGGTCACTGTGAAGTGGAACGACACAATGGTAGAAGATTGGGTTTGGTCTAAGTGGAGAGGTAGACAAGAACAATGTCTAGGACAGATTATCTTTATGACATCAAAAGTGTTCTGTGAATATTGATAAATTTTAAGACAAAAAAGAACAGTATTTTCTAAAGTTAACTGCTAGTAAAGTATCTCAGTTGTTTTTTAAAAAAAATATATCTTTTATATCGTAAAGGAGGTAGTTTAACGAAGCAGAGCTAAACTGTTTAATCCTAGTTTCAGATCTGCCACTAAACACATTTGGGCAAAAGTCAGAAGGTCACTGTCAATCCTCAATTGTATAGAGCAAAAAATCAAATTCTTTTAACATGCAAAACTTGTGTACCTTCTCTAGAACCTCTTGATTAATTGCTCTATTACTGATTCTCCACTTAAGAATGAAAGAGATAAAATGGTAAACTCTCTACTCTACCCTTTCCCTAATTTACTCAATATGCCAAGAAATAAAACATGAATTAATTAAGTATAAGACTTTCACTTTGAGGACAAGTTCCAATTCTACCATTTCTTCAGTATATGATTTTGGGCCAATTACTTAAATTAACTGGGCTTCATCACCTCTGACACAGAAATCAACAACCATTGTAATACTGAATTCATCAGGTTATTTCAGATGAAAAAATACATTTGAAAACATAAAACTATAAGTATCATTGTTATTAATTATTATTGCTGTTGTTACTCACTCACTCATTGTCACTGAATTAGAACCAACTCAGTGCCTACCCTCCATCGGGTTTCCTGGGCTGTAAATTGGACAAAAGTAGATTCTTTCTTCCTCAGAACCAGTGGTGGGTTTGAACCACCAAATAAGCACAGACTTTGGATTAGCAGCACAACTCCCTGCAGACTATGCTAGCAGAGTTCCCTTATCGTTACTGTTGTCGGTGGTGTTAGATACATACCATCAAGTTGGAATCAACTCATACCTTACTCTAGTATTCAGAGGCAGTAAATCACACAGGGGAGCATCCATCTTTCTCCCATTGAGCAGCTGGTGGATTTGAACTTCATGTCTTTGGTTTGGCAACACAACTCCTTACTATTAAGCTCCAGAGCTACAATAGTCCCAAATAGTATTTCCCCCACATTTAGCCACATTCTTCTCTAGATTAATTATCTTGTGCATTTCCATTTTTAAGGCCAAGTACTTCAATACTGGCAAAAATATTACATGATTTGGCCTAGCTTTTAAATTCTAGAAAGATGACATTAAACTGGATCTTTCCGCTCAACAAACTCAATCCAAATCATTGATGAAAATTGCCTTGGTCAAAGTACCTTAAAACACTATTAACTTTTCCATTAATCTACATTATAGCCCACAGTTTGCACATTCCATATCTCAGGATATAGTCTCTCATTTCCCATTGCCCAGCAACATCCAGAAGAACTTCTTCCCACTGGAAGTCACTTACACAAAGAGCTGCTCCATCGCCCTTTGAAAATATGTGTGGGCAACTTTTTTTTGGACTTCCATTCATTCATTGTTGCACTTTTCTCCCTGCCAACACCTCCCCTGCCCCAGTTCACTCTTCTCTTTGAAAAGTAAAAGAAAAATTCTTCCATTGTTGTACAATCCCTGCCCCCAAGTCCACTCTGTTATGCAGCCTTCATTCTG